TTCGAAAAAGTTCTCTTAAGGGGAGTCGATAGTGCTAATCATCATTAATGCTAAAACTGACCTTCTTCGATGAAACTTTTCTAAGAAACTACTGATGATATTGATTGGAAGTTTTTTGGAGATATTTGAAATTATAGCAGTTGTATGTTGTGATAATGTTTTAGCGTTAATAGGAATACTTTTTGAGTTATAAAAGATTTTTCCTCAAAAATGGTGAAACTCTTTAAACAATTAAAAGTTCTCAGTTCATAATTTTTTTTAAAGAATTTCTGCCAAAGACATGTATTAACAGTTATCACAGTATAAACATGTATATGTAAATATTCAGTGATAAGAAAACTGAAGCAATATCTTCTTTAGATGCTGAGAAAAGGTACATCGAAAAAGATCAGTTTTCGGTATATGGCTTACTGACTCCCCTTAAGCAATTTAAAAATGTGGCTTATCATTAGATTCTCCGAAGCCTTTAATATTCATATATTTTTGTTTGACAATCTCATATCTTAAATCTTCTTCTCAGAATAGTTTACGTGAGCTCCAAAAACATTTCGACTTTAAAACAAGCAAAATATTAAGTTAAAAGGGCAAAACATTGCACGTGACTAATTTGAATGTTTTAATGCTAATTGTGTTGGTAAAAATGTGAATTTATTGTGCATACATTTCAAAAAGCTGTAAGTCAATTTTTTATTTTATTATTTTGAGATAGCAGACCAAAATCTTGAGTTTAATTATTTTAATATTTAAACCTTAACGTGATGTTTTTGCTGCAACATATTTATTTAAAAAAATTATTAATTAATATAATAAAAAACTCATTTATAATTATATGTAGTTATCTCAAATAAAAAGATTGCACAATTAACAATTTCAAGCTTTCCAAGTACGTGTGTTATTAATGGTGAGAAAATAAAATAGGCAGTAACTGAGTTAACGAATTTTATTATAAAATTTAAAACGCTTGAGGATTTTAAGCCTATAAAATGCGCATGACTTTAAGGAATAAATATCTTTAAGGGATTAAGTTTGAACATAAATTAAATCTTATAATTTTTAGTTATTAAAAAAAAATCGCAGGACAAAACAAATTTTCTTCTCAAACTATAAAATATGTATAATTTTCTTCGCCTCATTTTGTCTGCAAGGCAGATTTACCAAAGATTTTAAAAACATTGTCAGACGGTGGTTATAAGATTAGTCAAAACCTGATACAAAATTCTTAACACTTATAAAATTGTTTTTTTGACTCTTAAATGTCGGTCAAGATAAAAACAATATTGTAATCTGCTTTTTTTTTATCTATCTGATTATAGATAAAAAGAATATCGTGTTACGAACTTTAAATTTTAAAATGCGTGTCTCGCAATGAGCTTAATGAATGGAGCTTTTATGATACCTACTGGAGCAATGAGATACCATTATTTTAAAGTTATTATAATACAAAAATTGAGGAGCATATCTCAAATATGCCATGGATTCATTGATTTAGCTTCGGAAATGGTTATTATAATAATAATTATTGTTTTTATTTATTTTTTTAGCGTATTGAAAAATTTACACGAATCCTCTAGAACAGCGGCTTCCGATTTTTTTGTTCTTCCGATTTTTCTGGGGAAATCTAATGGATTGACCTTATTTTAGCTGAATCCCATCATTATCAAAAAAGTTCATCAGGCACTGTAAGCAAATGAACAAAAATTTTCTTCTTTCATGACGCTTCAGCCCACAGTGAGCTTTGGTTTGCAAAACAATGTTTCAAACCTTTCTGTTCTTAGCTTTGGACTTGCATTTGTTAATTTTCGTCATGGTTAGATCTTTGGTTTAATTTTTTTTTCGTCATATAACCTCTGGGTTTTAAGTTCACTGGTTTTAATTTAAGATTTTTCTCAGACCCAGATTTTCCTTCATTTTTTTTTTGTATATCCCAGCCAATGGCATGGCTGGATCTGAATGAAAGCCAATGGATTGAACAATGCTTTTTGTTCCTGGTTAAGTTCAATATTGTTTTTGATTCTCAGCTGTGAGTTGTTTATTTGAATGGGCCCAAAAAAATTTTCTTAAAAATTTCCTTTTAAATATTAGTAAGTTATTTTCATCTTTATTTTTCAATTATTAAAAAGAATAAGTCTACTAATTATTTTGAAAGCATTTAATGAAAAAAAAAAATTAAAAATTCTCTTAATAACAGACTTAAAATTGTGATTAATAACAGACAGTTGATCCTACAGATCTGGGGGAGCAGCTAGTCTGGTTCGAAATTTGTTTTAAGAGCATAATGAATAAAATTATTTAAATAACTTTCGTTAAAATAAAAATAAAGGACGTTTATAAACGTTGACTTGTTATAAGCGTTGACAATGGTTATTGAGGACGTATAATTCTCCATTGTTGAATTTAATTATTTTATTGTGAATTAAAAAGTTCGATGGGAAATGCACACATAATTTTTTCATAAATTCATATCCTTTACTTTATTCTTATAAGAATTCTTTTTTAATTTTTTGCCTTCCTTTTTGTTATATAATCGAATATTAAACAATTAATTTATTACTGATAGATTATAATTCTAATTAAATGTCCCAAAAGCGACCGAACTCTCGAAAACTACGGAATACTAGGGTTCCAAGAAACACGTTTAGGGTAGAATAGCTTTATTTCATTATTTAGTTCAATTCATTATTCCACTTTGAACTCAACATTTTTTGTCAACAGATTGTAAATAAATGGGTTTCCTTATTGGTTATTTACAGAACACTGGCAGTCCGCGAAAGAGTTCCGAATAGTCGGTATTAAAATAATTCATTTGCACCATTGTTGAAAATATTAAAAAATTATTTGTTAGGGGGAAAAACTGAAGAAAAAATAAAATGCAATGAATTTTTTTATCATAATTATTTCAGAATCGCAAAGCATGGGAGGATGCGATCTTTTTAGTTAAAACATGGAATCCCTACACTTATTAAGGACAAATAGTTAACAAGTTTACGTAAACATTGGAAAGACATGCATAGTATCTTTTATCTATCCTCTCAAGTAATTTTTTTCTTAAAAAAAAAAATTCTTTAATGTTTATTTAATCATTACATTTTGTGCAAAGTATGGAGTTTTTCCGTATTTACTGCTTTTTTCAAATGACTAAAATTAGGGGGTGAAAACTTACCATCAAAGTATTCTTTACCCGAAAAATTTTTTAAAACAAAAAATATCTAATCTCCCCTTAAAAATACCTGGTGCTTTTTAGTGGTTTGAAAAGTATTATTATGATCTTGTCGTAACTCATTTTTGCAATAAAAGGTTGCCGTATTTCAGAAATATTTTTTTAACCTTCGTATCTCTAAAAGTGAAAAAGTGATGTACAGCTTAATTTAAAATGATGATAGTTACCTTAAAATTTTTAGAAGAACCTATTTTCATTGACTTAGTAAATGCATTATTTACATTACCAAGATTCTAATTTGTTTATTCTTGAATTCAGATAAGTTTTCAGAACTAGAATGGAAATCTAAACTTGGCGTTTACTGTGTTATTGAAAGTTTTAAGACTGTGAGAGAGCAGTATTAAGTTGAAGTAAAGCAGTTATAAAACAGGTTTGTAGGAATTGAGGGAATTAGAGAACTTACTAGAAGTCCAGTAAGTTTCATAGCTGGAAGTTTAGTAATGAAGTTCATAATACAGTGTAAACTTCTTGGTAGTTATTTTTCTAGTTTATTTATCATCTGAAGTTTGTATGAATGATGAAGGCGTTTGGCATGTAAGGTCAAAAAAGTTTTGAAATCTTCATTGAACAAAACGCTGTTGTTACAGATGTTAGGAGATCATGGCGGTGAACTGCTTTATTGGTCTGGAAGCGGGCTCATACATATGATCTTTGCCTATTAGAATTGTCCAATTATCTCTCTCCCTACTATATACATATATTTATCTATTAACAACACTATAGGTATTATTCATTTTGCTACGTTGTCTTTGATAATTTAAATAGTGTTTAAAAATTATACGCTAATAAAATTATACCTCTTATACGTTAAGTATTTATTCAGATTATTTTGTATTTTTATGGAACAAAGTTAGTTACGAAATAATTATATTTATTTTTTTATCTTTTCTGAAATGGCTGTAGAAATTTTAATTATAAACGGTGCTGTGCTGCCACATACTGTCATGCTAATTAGTGATGATTTGGACAGAGCTTGGATTTTTTTTAGCAATAGCATGATATTCAAGATCTGGCTCGAAAGGTAAGTGAGGAAGTAATACAGCATGCAATGGAGCATTGGAATGAGTCTTTTATTTTATCTCACGGCAGAATATAGAATGGAAATCATTTTAATGCTTCGTCTGCCTACTATGCTGAAATGTCTAGAAGTTGTATTTATGGTGGTTTGTGTGATTTAATGCTGGACAGATCTTAAATTAATACAAAAATTCAATACATAGAGTACAGTAGCAATATCGTGGACATTATTGAAAAGTGTTAAAAATTTGAAATCAAAGTACTTGGTGCGGGCAACAACCTTGGGATACAGCTAGACGGTAAAAAAAATTTGTTAATATATTTTTTTAGACTGAGTAAGGTGTTAGGATTGGAAGAAGGGTTGAAGAATTAAAATATTTAACTGAGTTATGCTGTGCACTCGGATGGTTGCCATTATAGTTTATATGTTGTACTTAAAGGTGACCAAGCTGGTCGCTAAAGGTGGCTAGTAACTATGTAAGTGGTAAAAACGTTTTTCGAAAAAGAAATTTAAAAGCTCCCTAACCATATGAAATTGTTGGATTTTCATGGTGATTAAGGAAAAAAAATTTTTTTACGTGATGCATTATTTTTTTTTCTATGGTCCAAAAAATATTGTTGTACAATAATTAATTTTAAAAAATTAATAAATTTTAGAATTAATGCAAGTTTTAAGACTACATCACTTTACTAAGGCGAAATCAATTGCCCATAAGTAAAAAGTAATTTTACGAAAATATGAACACTGTAAAATAAATAAACTTACCCGAGTACGAATGTGTGCAGTTGATTCATTTCATTCGGCAAGGCATTTCTTGGAAAATGAGTTAGTGGCATATCAGTGATAAACACATACCTCAGATTGCTCAAGTGGCTCATGCAACCTGATTCAATTTTAGACGTACTCGTTTTTCTTAATTCAACGTATTCTATGCCGGCTGGAAGACTATCTCTAAAATCACGACCCAAATTCGAAAGTATGACGTCACTAATTTTTATGAATTTCAAGACACGAGCTCCTCTTAACTGCGGCCATAAGCTCTCTTGAAATCTAACCGATTCGAAGACAATTTCACTCAAATTGGGCCATTCTGTTGATCCAGACTTCATCAAACGTCTTACGTTACACTGGTTGAGCCGAAGTGAAGTTACACTGGACACCGTTGGTGGTAGCTCGTTGATGGTGAGTGAGCTAAGTTGAAGCTCCCACGGGACATCCGTTTGCAGCTCTGCCAAAGCTGCCATGACTCGGTAGCTGCCTGAGACACCAGAACATCGCACTTCGATGCCAGTTTTAGTTTCGCCACAAACACAGGGTGAATCTTTATCCCAAGCTGGGCAAGATCCTTCCGTGATTGCAGCGCAAGTCCAAAGAATGCAAATTATTAGAAATTTGTTCATTGAGAGAGTTTTTACAGTAGAATAAGCTTTAAGAAGATCTATTGCCATTTTTTGTTTCTATTTCAATTAATTAATACATTTGCGAATTATTGGAGGTCGAGAAAACGGCACGTCTTCTCACTTGGATTGTTATCGCTGGAAAGAACAACTGCGAGGATCAGAGGCAGTTGAGTCTGTTTTGTATAACCGTGAAATCGACCTTTGAGTTTGATACAGTTACGTGATCCTTTAGCTGGAATATTTTGTTTTTACATCACATTCGATGGGATGATAACTTTTTTTTTACCTAAAGAAATTTAGACATTTATTCCAAAACAAGAAATGTTGTTGCGAAAGAAAATGTTTCCTCTTTCGCTTGTTTGATAGCTGTTGCTAATTTTAGATTTGGAACTTAACAGTTCGTAAATATAATTGCTGAAGCACGGATTTTAAAGCTTCTAAAGCATTAAGAAAAAAAGGTTTTATTCATATGAAGATTTAAACATTTGTAGCTAAACTATAAGCTGAGATGGAAATTCATTCAACTTATTGTATAAGGAAAAAGTAATATTTTTTTTCGTTACCTGTATCTTGAATGCAATTCACGCAAAAGTATATTTAATAAACTTGTGGAGAGTTAGCATCTAATAAAAACGCGTCAAGTTATAAGAATACATGTAGTTTGCTCAGCTCCTACTTTGATAATGTACCACGCAGGCATAAATGGGAAGCAGTAGTCAGTTTTTGATTGTTAAGTGATTTTAGAATTCGTAAAACTCTTCGAAAACAAGAAATCCACTAAAATTCCCTAAGATACTTATATCCAACATAATAACAGTACTAATACGTTTGTGAATGAGAGGTTTTCCGCAATGAGCACCCTTAAGATATATTGTTTTAGAATTCCTGTCAAGAAGAATAATACATACTCGTCTTAAAGTATAATAAGAGAAATCTGGTCAAAAGTAATGGTAGTCACCAGTAGAGAAAGTATGCAATCGAGAGTATACTTGACAGTATATTCTNTGTGCGCCACCTAGGAACCAAATCTAGAACCCGACACTCGAAATTTTTGCTCTGTTACAATCGTACCCTGTTACAATTGACCCCACTCTCCCCTATAGTCTTGATATCTGAACGTTGAAGAGAAGCTAAAACAATTTCAAAATAACGAGTTTTCAAGATAACAAGTTCAGAACCAAATATGTTCTTAAAAGTAGAAAAATATTATCTAAAACAGTTTTCTAAAAAGAACATAAAAATAAATACGAATAAAGCATATGAATAAATACTAATAAATATGTACGTAATGTTAGTTGACAATAAGTCTAAATACAGCAATGATAATTTTATTTCATAAAAATAAAAAATACTAATTATGCATTTGATAAAAACTAATTTTTTTACAACGAACTTTGTTAGAGCTATTTAAACGAAGAAAAAACAGCGTTTGCGAAATATTATGAATCATTACTGAAAAAGGCGAGACTTCAAAAATAAAACCAGTTTGGTTGTTGGAGGAAGCAGAGTTGTATGAAAATATATTAAGAAGCACCTCTAAGTTTCAATTAATCTGTTTTCTCTTCTTCTTTTTTCTTTTTTATGTTTCTCTTCTCGCTTTCCTCACCAATGATTCGACAGATTTCTTTGATGATTTAATTTCTTCTTTACTTAAATGTTCATGTGCGCCTCCTAATTTGAACACTTTTTTATTTTTGATAATGAATCAAAAATATACATTAAGAGTAATCATTATGGAACACTCTGCAAATCCTAGGAGTGGCAGCCGATTATTCTTTGAAAATGCTTCCCCTTATTATTTCAAGAATATTCATGATTTTAGAAAGATTATATGTTCAATAACAAAATTTCTTTCGCTTGTGCCTAAATTTAAACATTAAACTCAAAATTTATCTTCTTCAAGTACACGCATGATCCACCCTTACAAATAATCCTGACTCGGAAGTTTTTTCTATTTATTCTTTCTGACTTTTTTTTGCGTCAGTTTCTAGCTATATAATTTTGTAAAGTGTATTTATGATTATGATTTGCGAATGCTATAATGACTAATGTGATTTATCTTAAGCTTGGTTTGTATTCAGAATTGAAATAGATTAATTAATTGATTTGAGTTCAGATCTTGAGCAATTAAATTCAATTTTCAATTCAATTCTAACATCTAAATTTTTGCAAAATTTAAGACCTAAGTGCGTCACACGAAATTTTTGTTTTGCAAGGGAAAAATAATTTTAAGTCATATTTTGCACAATAATGGCGATGCATTATGGCGATATTGAAGTATATAGATGAGGGAATACAGAAATATATTAGAAATATGTTATTAAATTTATTTGAGTACTTTTTCGTGCATGTCGGTATTTTTAGAGTGCATTCGGATTTTTTTAAATATATTACGTTGTTAAACATTTATATAAGTGTCTTTATATATAAACAAAAAAATTTAAATTAAATGCAATTTTTAGATAGAACAAATTTCTAAATAATTTTTCATTCGATTTAAAAATTATTAATTCAAACTAAAACTCATCGTGGAGAATATATTGTTTGCAAACAATAAAGTCGTCTTCATCTATTTCAAAAGTATGTTTAATTTATAAAAAGTAATTTATTTTCATTCCAAAAACGAACAAAAACGAAAAGTTGTAGTGTTTCAGATGCCCACAGAAAGTACACAACGTTAACAATGTTAATAAATCTATTGCGATGCTTTCATTTTATCGTACCTCTCTATGCAATAAACAAATTTACAGGCTTAAATTTTGCAATTAACACTAACACCGGCGAATTTGTTTGAAATATACGACATTAAAATTGGGTTGCTAAGGTCTTCATCAAGTGAAAACCTTAGTAACTGGCATAACTCATGAAAGGTTATTTCGGAAAGCGAGAAAAAAAGTGACAAAATGTCCTCTCTTGACCTTCGAATTCTTTCGAAAGCTTTGGAAGTTTTGATAAAATGCCTTTTTTTTTTTATAGCTGACTAAGAAAGGTTAGTCATTTTTCGTTGTGGATTGACGTTATTTCGGTAGCTAATTCCTTGAATAGATAGACATTTGGCCTTAAATGATAACTTTACAATATCACTTTTTTAGAAACATAGATTGGCTTCTAGAGTTCGTATGGAAAAAAAAGTTTTTTTTCCTAATGGGTATGAAAAAGAGAGTAAATATTCATTTCATACCGATGACGTTTAAAAGCCCTCTTAAAAATTTTATATGTCCGCTTCTTTCGGCAAATGTTATCAACAGGTCAGTTTTACTTAATAGATTTTTTGTCTGTATAGTTATTTTTATTGTCTTTATTTTATAGCTTAGCAAGTCCAAATCTAGCTAGTCTCGGTTTTCCCTAATCAGTTTTTAACTACATCGGGAAATTTCCTAATGCTTGGTTTAATTACCAACTAAAAAATTAAATGCCATTAAAAACGTAGTTAAAATTTAAAAATAAAATTTTAAATACAATCTTAAACATATGTTTGTTTCTAAACTGCTTGCATATATTTATATAACATTAGCGTGACGTGTGACCAGGGTGTCTCGAGGTTTGGTGACACTTAGTGACAGAAAGATGTCAAAGAAGTCGCAAAAATCAGATATGGACGACCCTCTAAAACTGTCATTATATTAAAAAGGCTCATTTCTAAATCTCCAACATAATACACAGGATTTTCGCGTACCCTCAATTATATTTGAGATCTTTGTAAAATTCTTACATTCTTAAATGCTTACATTATCTCGACAAGTTATCCACATTTTTAAGTCAATCTATAGTTCTGTATCGATATTTTTTCTACCTGTGCCATTTTGCCCATTTTTTTTTAAAAAGCATCCCTAGTGTTAACTTATGACTGTGCAATTTTCTGGAAAAAACTTCTAATATTTTTCTAACAGTGCTATATTTTTCTACTCGTCAATTTTTTTTTTCAAAACTCGTCACATTAACTTATTGGTCACTTTGCCGGATGATATGTTTAGCTACACGCCAGAATTACAAGATATGCGATGCGGATTGTAACAGTGAGGTATGATGCTGACATTTCTGCTCACAACTCAAGCAGTTGATATATATA